GACATGTGAAGCAAAGGACTTGGGTTCGATCCTAGGTCCAAACATTTTCATATTTTTTGAACATTTAACTGCAGATCCAGTGTGCCTCATAGCTTGGCGTTAACCATGCACCTCAGCGCTTCATCACTGGATCCACTACCAACACATATCCAACGCTCAAACCAAGGAAGGACCATGGTACAATCTCCAAGCGCACCAACACAGAATCAGGCGTGGGGAATGGGCTCAGCCATAATAGGCCTAGACAAATTCAGAAGCACACCCCCTGGATTGCTTTTGTGATCGTACTTGTCCCTTTGAACGTCCCTTAAAATTCCAACGATGATGCTACCTATTCCTTAATAATAGGATAGCGCTGTCTAAAGGAAAACGAACAGATTTTTTCGAGTAGGTAGATTAGTTCCTAGGTACTTGCTCAAACAAAATTTTCCACACAAACACTTTTCAAAACAATTTTCAAAACAACTTCGCCACACTCTTGAGGACCGATACAAGGGTTATCACGAAGTTAAACAAAAACTTTTCAAAGCACACACAAGCAATTTCAAAATGAGCAAGTACCTAAGAGCCCATGGAAAACCATGGATAGAAAGGGCGCTAACACCTTTCCTTTCTATAATCTACCCCCGTACTTAGAAACATCTCGAAAAAAGGTTTTTTCTGTTCTTTTTCCTTTTCCTTAGTTGAATGAAATAAAAGTCGGTGGCGACTCTTGCTTACCGCGACATTTGCGAATACAAAACGCAAACCAGTATAACATTCGATTCTGTCACTGTATCACAAGTATGAAAAGTAAAGGAAATTTCTTAATTTACCCCATATATTTTTAGCGCATTGCGTGAAATACAAAAACGCCCCCAGTTTTGGAAAAATGTATTTTCGGACACACCAAAAAACTCAAAAATCATGCAAAAACAAATTTATTGTGTACTTCCATTTTTTTCTCTAAAAACTATCCCATCTTAGAAAACAAGTTGTTAGAAGCATCTTATGTCATTATGTCCTCAAGTGACTTTAGGACTAGCTTATATAGATTAGAAACCAAAGGGTTTCTAAAAATGGATTAATGGCTCTTCCAATCATAACTGAATCTGATACAAGTTTTGCATAATTTTTGTCGGAGACAACAAAAATGTAGTTTGAAAGAGCATAAAAATCTAGTAAATTCACATATATGGGTAAAAATGTATCTTTGTGGTTACTTACTCCTCCAATCCAATTAACCTGTTCCTGCTGCACAGTAATGTTTTCGTCATATGACTTCAAAATCGGTAGCTTTTCCATATTGAAGCAACAAATTTGGCTGATTTAATAGCTTATCTTCATAACGGTTATCGATTTCTTTATCGAAAACTCGCCTCACAAGATCTCCTTTGAACGATACATTGCTTTTTGATTGTAATACCCAATGGCAAAGGTAGTTGAAGTAATCAATCCATTGACCAAAAATGCAAGAGAGATGATCAAAACAAAATCTTATTACTCTATTTACTTGGAGTGGAATCAATTCATGAGGAACGTTGCTTCCGCTTCTTTCTAAAGTGAAATTCTTTTTGAAGAGATTTTACAAAAGTACACTTCTGGATTTTCTCAGAAAGTATATTTCCGGATTTTTCTCATTTATAAATGAATTTAGGGTGAGTCTCAATTAAGACATGTTTTGTTGTGAAAAAGGTGCGTCCAAAATGCATTTCCAAAATCTGATGGGCATTTTTTCAGATTTTCATAGGTGATTTTTCCACCCTATAGAATACATTAAGAAATGGGAATTTCTTTCCACACCCTTACACCTTTTTAGCCACCTCTGGCAAAATTATATTTTTACCCTTAGAATTCAGATATACATCTCCTAATGCACCATATTTTATTTTTGCTGGGGTATTTTCAGAGATGTATTGCCGAAACACTTATTTTCAAAATCACGGGTGTTTCGGAGATACATCTCCGAATTAGGGCATTACAGTAACAAATACGAACAACCACCTGTCATTCTCATTTCTTCCAACTTATAACTATCAAACACCCCAAAAACTCCAAAATTTATACTTTCAAAACTCATTCAAGTTTGTTTACTCATTTGTACTTGTTACAACTCACTCCAACTCTCAATTTCAACAACTCTAAAAGCTTCAAAATTGATTAAGTTCTTCAATCCCTTTTAATTTTTGCATTTCCATTTTAAGTTGCTTAGATTATGTATAACCTATAAAAAGCTTGCTTTTAAGTGTAAAAATTTGATTTTGATGTAAAAGTGGTGTTGTTAGGTTGAAGATTTGGTTATGGAAGTCGCATGTGTAAGTTCCTTAGTTTTAAGGACTGACATTAATTTTTGTAAAAAAAATATAGCAGCAATATGTTAGATAGGAAGTATTAACTTGCTAACAGTAACAAGTTGAGCAAAAAATCCTATCTTATGTTAGGACATGTTGAGTTGAAGTGTTTCAATGTCTGGAACAACATGTCAGATAAGATGTCCTATGAAGGAGCACACGACATCGCGTCTGAGCTGAAGTGGACAGTTAGATTCTATTATGATTTAAATGTTGCAGAATATTTCGGGAATATTATGCAATATTATATGGTGCTGATTTAAAGGTCAAGAAGAATCAGATCAAAATATTGAAGATTATGCAGTTTCTAAATATGGGGATATTTTAGGAAACTAATGATTGAAGACCTTGTTTGTAGCAGAAGTTACTGCTGGTTGATACAACTGATATGGTGTATTTTGAAGGCCTAAATCTAGTTGAGTATAGGTTATAAATAGAAGTCCTTATAACCTAGAAAAGGCACGAGTTCAAGATGTAGAAGTCCAAGGCTTTGTCTTTTTGCCGCTCTCTAGGAGAGTTGGTGTAAGTGAACCACTCGGATTGTGAGATGATCACTGTGTTCTCACTTAGAAACCTGAAGGTAATGAGTTGAGTATTATTCTTGGAGGAAGCTTTGAAGTAACTCTAAGTTGTGGTCTTAGTCAAGAGTCTTGACTAGAGACTGTCATGGAAGTGTGTCTTTTTGTTTGTGCAAAATTGTTTGTGTCTAATCGCTGTATGTGATTGAAGAAGGATTGAGGAGGGCTTCATATCTAGGTGAGTCTTAGATAGAAATATAACACGGTAATGATTAAGTGAGAAGTTGTAAACGGGGGATTTTAGCTTCAAATTGATACTATCATAATGGATTTGTTCCTGGCTTGGTATGCCCCAAGAGTAGGAGAGTTGCTCCGAACAGGGTTAACAATTCTGGTGTGTTGTTTATGCTTTTCAGTTCTGTTTTTATTGTTGATACCTTACCTATTTGTTTGTCAGGTCAGATGTCCCAATATGTCATATGACATCTGAGTTCTGTCATACCAGAATTTCAACAGGTTTTTTTCGAAGATACATCTCCGAAAACCCCTCTGAGGAGTTTCGGAGATGCATCTCTGAAAAATGGTCTAGGTTTATTTTTTTTTAATTTTCAAACATGTTCTTGTTCACTCGCTTACCTTTAATTTGATTGATGATTATTTTTTCCCCAGAAAAATGGTAGAGAACCCTAACGATCACACTTGATGGCGTCGCCTGTCTGCTACACCTTCCTATCAGAGGGAGGTTACTTAACCACTCCCAAATCGGTCGTAGTGATGTGATTGAATGGATGGTCGACTATCTGGGAGCTGAACCAGAAGAGGCATTTAAGTAGTGTTCCTCCACCAATGAGGTTCATGCCAAGTTCTCATTCCTTAAGGAGTTATATCACCAATACCTCTCTATGACACCTGATTCCCAGTCTAGAGGGAGACGACTTCTTTGTTCTTTATCATCGTTAGTATGCTCTGAGGTATTACTTCATGTTCTTGGCTGGTAGGTCCCTTTTTATGGACAAAAGCGCCAACTACGTAGATGTAACATAATTTCAGTACTTCATGGATTTGGATACAGTGGGGGAGTGGAATTGGGGGGCGACTGTTTGATATATCTGTACCAAAAGCTGAATGAAGCTTCTAATTGGAAGACACGACAGCTGCCAGTCTCTGCTACACTGCTGACGATAATTATCATTCCAACTATTAAATTTAATTTACTATTAATAACTATAATTTATTCTTACATGAATCTTATTCATTTTTTAGGGCTGGATCATTTCACACTTCCACCGCATTTGTTGTTTCGATTATGCTCTGGATTATATTGAGGACATGCCGATGGCTGCTTGGTATGCCCCCTGAGGCAGTGACCATTATAGAGCGGATGGTTATGGAGGCAGAGAGTGCGGCATGATACAGTAGACAGAGGAGGGGCCAGAGAGTGAGGATCAACATACATAATAGGCTATGTTTTTTTTTTAATTTCAGAACAATTTATGAATAATTCTTGTATTATTATTATTTTTAAAACAATTTATTGTATTATCGTTTTTCATTTGCGTTTTTATTGTATTATCGTTTTTTATGTCTTATCATTTTTCATTTGCATTTTTATTATCATTTCCATCTAATTATTTATCAACACATTAATGATTTAAAAAAAATATCACTGTCCAGGATTTCGGAGATGTATCTCCGAAAGAACCAAATCAAAGTGTTTCGGAGATGCATCTCCGAAAATATCATTACATATTTAAATATAACGTCCAAATCCAAACAAATTATTTTCAGAGATGTATTTCCAAAATACTCTGATATATAATATGTTCAGAGATGCATCTCCAAAAAATATTTATAGATTTTCAAAGATTTTTTACAACCTATAAAAAATGTACAAGAAATTCCCTTAAAGAAAGTTTCAAACTAAAACTCATCGTACATCTTTCCAACAAAAGGGTCCAATGGACCAAGAGCCCACCGCAGTCACATTCTCTCTATATTCTACACCCCCAAAAAACAAAAACACAAAAAATTGCTCACCACGAAACTACACCACTTCTTTCTCTTCCACCTCACTTTAAACCCTAACCAAGGGTTTAACCTCGCGCCATGCTTTGAACAACAACACAACCACTTCACAATCCATTTCCAAACCATGTCCGCCGCTAAATTAACCTCATGCGTCGCCGCAACAGCAGCCGCAGTGGCTTCAATGTCCACTCGCTCCGATCCCGCTTACTCTGAATCTTTCTTCCGATTCCCTTTTTTCTCTTCTTCACCTTCCAATTCACCTTCACCGACGAACCAATCACCTGACACCAAGTCAGAATCTCCACCGTCCGAGGAACCTAACAAGTCCGGTTTTGATCCTGAATCGTTAGAAAAAGCTGCCAAATCTCTCCGTGAAATCAATAATTCACCCTACTCTAAACAGGTTTTTAGTTTTCTCGAATTTATCTGCGTTTTTTCATTAGAATCTAAACAAGGAGCAGTTCGTTTTTACTTCTTCTAGAGGGATTATCATTATATTTTTGTGATATGTTTTGCTTTTGCTTTTCAGGTGTTTGATTTAATGCGAGAACAGGAAAAATCTCGACTTGCTGAGCTAGATGCTGAGAAAGTTTATTATGAACTTATTCAGTCTCAAGGAGATATTGTAAGTGATCATTTGTAAAATATTTTAATTTTTGTTAGCACTTAAATTTCTATCTTGTTTTATTGTGCCGAATATATTTAATTTGCAGGACAGGCTGCGTAAAATGGCTGAAGAACAACGCAATCTAATACAAGAGCAGAACCAGAGGCAGGCTCAGGTGTTGCGATTTGAAGATGAATTAGCAAGGAAAAGAATGCAGGTGCAAACTGAATGAACAGAAATATACTCTTTTTATTAAATATATGTGAATTTTAAAAGTTCTGACATTTAGTTAACATTAAAGTTTAGAAACATTGTTATTCCATGGCAAAAAGTCATGTTAGTTTTAGTAGTGTAATTGGATGTAGTTAGAAAGCACATATACAAAATCAAGCCGAACTTGATCTTTTCATATGGTTTCTAACTTCTTTTTTCTTTTTTCATTCTCTTTTGCTCTTTTGGTTTTCCGCAATGCGTACGTTTTTATTTTGTTTGAAATTTTAGTTATAGAAAAGAAACAAACAGACTTAAATGTTGGTTTAGAAACGCATGACCTTAGTCAATGGCTGCCTTGCCTATTCCTAAAATTTATCTCCTTTCTTTTCTCGGTGTTCAAAACACTGTAGTAATAGGATTTATGATGAAAATTTTCTTGAGTAGTCTAACTGGTAAATCTTTTCCTTTAAAATTCCTTAAATTTATCCCCTTTCTTTTTTGGGTGTTGAAAACACTAGTAATAGGATTTAAGGCGAAAATTTCATAAAGTAATCTAACTGTGGGTGAATATGTGAGTGTTCAGTGCCCTGTGTAAATTAAACTCCTCCATTTTTGAAATTTTGTAAGACTAAAATCTTTAACATAAAATAGCTATCCTTATCCATAATTTTCCATTTGCAGACAGATCATGAAAATCAACGGCAACATAATGTTGAGTTGGTCAAGATGCAAGAGGATTCTTTTGTAAGAAAGGAGCAAGCAAGACAGGCTACTGAAGAACAAAATCAATCTCAGAAGCGTCAGACTGAGAGAGAGCGTGCTGAAATAGAAAGAGAAACCATAAGAGTTAAGAAAATGGCAGAGGCTGAAGCCCGAGCCCATGAAGCAAAATTGACTGAGGATCATAACAGGAGAATGCTTATAGATCGAATGCATGGGGAAAGAGATAAATGGCTTGCTGCAATTAACACTACTTTTAGTCATATTGAAGGTATGACAACTGATGAAAACATAACTTTGCAAAATCTATTTTTGGCTTCTTCATGAAGATCATATATGTTGCCTAGGCGTTATTAGCTGTTACATACTTACAAAGTTAAAATGTTGTTGGCTTTCATTATTTCTTCTAATAAATCAACTATGTGCTTCTTACCCGTTTTATATCAACTATTTTCAGAGTAGATGATGACTGCATGACCTTTTATTTGGAAGTCATATCAGATTACCAATTTATCCGTATAACTGTTGTCTCTTTACTTAATGCAGGTGGTCTAAGGATTTTATTGACTGATAGGGACAAACTGATTATGACTGTTGGAGGAGCAACTGCATTAGCTGCAGGAGTATATACAACAAGGTACACTTGTTTTTTTCTCTCGGTGCATTTCATTTTGAAGTTAGTAACATCATCACTGAATTTGAAAGTGTGTTGGCAGTAAGTTGTATTTACCTTCTTCCAAGCACTACTCTTGTTGTGTTGCCAGTAAATTTCTTTTGTAGTAGTAGTTGGCCTGCCTGCATGCAAAATAGTTGTATCGATAATACATACATAATCTAGATGCATAAAAGTGGTTTTATGGCGCTATTAGATACTAGCAAATGTATTGGGACAAAACAGTAAAACATCCACAATGTCTATGGCCACTACAAATGGGGAATCAGGGAGTTTAAGAAAAAAAAAACAGATAGTAGTAGTTTCTATCTTACACCACTAAAGTGGTTGCTACTAAGTCATTCAAATGCACAGACCCCATAATAAGTTGAAAAAATCAAAGATCAAATAAAATCATGGTTTTGCATGTTATGACACTTAGTCCTCCCTTTTCAACCAATAAACTTCTTTAAAACTTATTTACTCTGAAATATTTGTCCTGATTTGTTCACCAATTGTAAATTCTAATATCTAATCCTGTAAACAACCCGCTGCAATAAAGTAAAGTTTCATCTTTTTTTTCCTAGTAAATAATATCTAAATATTTTTCCTACTTTCTATTGCCACAGAGAAGGTGCAAAAGTTACATGGGGCTATATTAATCGAATTTTGGGGCAGCCTTCATTGATCCGGGAGTCATCCATGGCAAAGTTTCCAGGATCAAGGATCATGTCTCAAGCCAAAAATAAAGTTTTAAATTATAGTACCTTGGCCAGGGCAGAGAAGCCTGTTGGGAGTCAAAATGGTCTTGGAAATGTAATCTTGCATCCATCATTGCAGAGAAGAATAGTACATCTAGCACGGGCAACATCAAATACCAAGGCCCATCAGGCACCATTTCGTAACATGCTTTTTTATGGTCCTCCTGGGACTGGTAAAACCATGGTTGCAAGAGAAATAGCTAGAAAATCGGTATGATACTTAGTTATTCTGTGCTGACTTACATGTTTTACTTGTTAATACTTTTGTATGATCTGTTGAGTTTGTACTGACAAGTTGGCATAATTTTCTGGTTGTAAAATATGTGATATATGAACAAATAGATTGAACTTAATTACTATGATGATCAATTTCTGTTTTATATGAACTCCGCTTCCTACAAATGGATTTGATTAATCTTTTTCTGCTAATAGTCATAGACTTCTTTAGTTTATTGTTTTAGAACTTGACTGCTTTATAGTGAAGTTACTTTAGAGGAGAAAACAACCATTGATAGTATAATTAGCGATTGAGATGGTTGTCATATTCTCGTAGATAAACTATGAAATTAATTAAACATTTGATTTTCTAATCAATACTCACTTTTCCCTTTTAAGTGAGTCACTAAATGCAATATTTCCGTTCATTTATTTGCAGAAATTTGGGGTAAAACTTGTCTTAAACTACCTTTAACTATTTCAATTTTTCTGTGAAGGGTTTGGATTATGCAATGATGACCGGAGGAGATGTTGCACCTCTGGGCCCACAGGCTGTTACCAAAATTCATGAGATATTTGATTGGGCCAAGAAATCTAAAAGAGGCCTATTGCTTTTTATTGATGAGGCAGATGCTTTCCTTTGCGAGTAAGTTTTACAGAATTAAAATGCATTTTGAATACTGTTTCAGAATTGCTCTGGAGAAGCACAGCTTTAAAATTATTCGGTCTGTGTAGTTTATCTAGATATGAGAGATATAAATATCAAGTTATTAATATCTGCATGGAACATCTTAATGTTTTTTCAACGTATAATTCTTTAGATTGGACTTAGGATAAATATTAATAGTATTCAAAAGCCCAAAGTATTTTCAACTTCACTTATTTGAGAGATTAAAATAAATATGTGAGTCAACAGCTTGTGGATTTTGTCTGTGTGGGTATGTTTATACCCTGATATATGTAACCTGAAGGGATTAAAATATTTTTTCAGCTGTAGAAACTAGTGGTATTAGAGACAAACGATTTTCCCATTACAATAGGTTTGCATAGAAGTTCAACCCTAAGCCCTTACTTTTTAACCTTAATTTTGGATGTGCTCACGGAATATATTCAAGAGGTAGCACCGAGATGCATGCTTTTAACAGATGATATAGTCTTATTTAGAGAGTCAAAGACGGATTTAGATGAGAGGTTGTAGACTTGGAGAAGAGCTTTAGAAACACATGGTTTTCACGTAAGTAGAAGTAAGACGAAGTATATGGAATGTAAGTTCAACATAAGAAGTGTTTCTAACCTAGAGGTGAAAGTTGGAGAGCATATCATTCCTCAAGTCACACGGTTTAAATATCTTGGGTCTGTAATTCAAATGATGGAGAAACAGAAGATGTAAACCATCGAATTCAAGTTTGGTGGCAGAAATGAGGAGGACTTTTAGGGGTTCTATGTGACGCAAAGGTACTGCTCAAGTTGAAGGGAAAATTTTATTGAACTGCAGTAAGACAAGAGATGTTGTACGAGACAAAATGTCGCGCGCTTATGAATCAACACGACAATAAAGTAAGTGTAGCAAAGATGAGGATGTTGCGTTGAATGGTGGTAAAACTAGAAAAGATAGGATTAGAAATGATAATATTAGAGAGTGTTGCATTGAATGTGTGGTAAGATTAGAAAGGATAGGATTAGAAAGGATAATATTAGAGAATAAAGTAAGTGTTGCAGAGATAAGGATGCTTTCTTTTTTATTTAGGGTTAAATAAATTTTTGGTCCCTATAAATATCTCAAATTTGACTTCGTCCTTATAAAAAAATGTCATGTTTTAGTCCTTATAAAATTATTTATGCATGATGTTTTAGTCCTTCTACAAGGACTAAAATTACGTCGTTACATTTTTTTTATAGGGACTAAAAGTCAGATTTGGTAATTTTGTAGGATAAAAAATATATTAAACCCTTTTATTTAATCATTATTTTTTCTAATTTATTGTATCCTCCTCGAGACAATCTACGTCAACAGATATTTATTTCTCTATTCTCCTTTTCTTTTTGGTTCTTAGCCAAGAATTCAGAAGTGCTCCGACACTTGACACAAACTTCTTCAAAAGTGTCATTCCCAATAAATTTTTACATCTCATCTGGAAGGTTTAAGTTAAGCTTTAGATATGTAATATAATCACTCGAGAGCTGTCTTACAAAGTCCCTCAAACACACCCCCATATAAAATCTATTTCTTTTTCAATAAATCAAAAAAATAAATGGTCTATATACTTTTGTAAAACAAATCATAAAATTTAAAATAAATACTCTAATATCGGTCTATATTTTCTTTTTTAATTTACCAGAAATTTGTTCCAATTATCTATCAAAATGTTTGTTTCTACCTTCTTTTAAGAGTTACGTGGACGTACAAGGTACAAGGTAAAAGCAGTGTTGTCAAATATCAATATTGGATCTCCAAAAAACTGATATGAGAAATATCGGATGGCGTAGCGGGCAAATAACAGAAGTTGCAAAGCGATTAAAACAGAAATAAAAACTCAAAAAGTTGAAAATTTCAAACCCACTAACTAAAACAGAAAAGCTACAACCAGAAATTTAAAAGGAATTAAAACTCAAAAAGATAGTTCAAACTAATAACTAGTAGTTTTTCTAAGTCTAACTAACGATAAAAGATTTAGCTATTCTCCTTTTCCCCTTCCCCAACTTCTCTTTGTTTTAGATGAAGTGCCAACAACATTATGGTTGAGAGTTTCTTTACTCTTATTAGTTGTTTGCCTAGTATATCTTGTAGGTTCTCCGACTCCTGAAGCTCTGAAAACAACTTCCCAATTAAGGACATCCTCATCATTCTCATCCTCAAAAACTCTTTCATTCCCAGCATCAACTTCATCACCATCCATCATCCCAACCAGCCACTTATTACATTCTTCAATTGAATCATCTGAATCAATATCCTCAAATTCTTCTAAGTCTTTTATGTTTCCAAGTGAAATTGGATCAATTTCATCCCTATAGATGTATCTCCGGAGTAAAGCTTGATTATATTTGACATACACCAAGTTGTGTAGTTTCTTATGCTCTAGCCTATTCCTTTTCTTAGAGTGAATTTGTAACATTCAAATTTAATAATTCACTATACTAGATGTAGAAACTAGAAAGAAACTATAATAGAAAAGTAAAATTATTGATGAAGTTCTCTACACCCATCATCAAGAGCGGCTTCTTCCGTGTGAAAGAAGAGGAAAAATGAACTAGTATATATAATACTAAACACCAACTCAGTAGCCCACATTTTCCTTTTTCAATGATTCCACCTCCTTAATTTCTACTTTTCCACATCGTCACCTTACCCTCTTTAATGTTTCTACTTTTCCACCTCTTCACCTTACTCTCATGATTTATTATAAAAAATAATAATAAAAATATGGCTTCTGATATTCCATTCATAACTATTATATCGGAAAATTGTCAATATCGCGAGCATCGCGAAATTGAAATGTTATACCAGATTTCGTATCGGATAGCCAAAATTCTGATATGCAATACCGGTATACTGGTGCTATACCGGATATTTAACAACACTGGGTAGAAGCGAAGTCAACATTTTGATACTAATATCAATTCTATTATGTAAATGTAGTATTTATTGTTCCAAACAATAATAAGCTGCAAAAGAAATAGATTGCATATGCGGTTGAGTGTTGGAGGGAATTTAAGACACAACTCACATGTGATTGTATTACACATTTAAAACTTAACTTAGAGCCTTCATATGAGATGTATAAATTTATTGGGAAGGACACCTGTATAAATTTATTGGGAAGGACACCTGAGAAAAATTTGTCAAGTGTTGAAGCATTTTTGAATTTTTGGCTAAGAGGCAAAAAGGAAAAGAGAATAAGGCAATAGATATCTATCCACGTGGATTGTCTCGTGGAGGATATGATAAATTGGAAAAAATAATGATTAAATAAAAAAACATCTTCATCTCTGCTACCTTTCTAGTCTTATTACACATTTAACACAACATCCTATAATAGAGAAGAGGGTGGAAAATAGACTTAGGTAGTTTGGACATGTAGAGAGAAGATCTGTATATTCTGTAGTAAGGAGAGTAGATCATATGGAGAGAAGTCAAATAGTTAGAGGAAGAGGAAGACCTAGAAAGACTTTAAGAGAAATGATTAGGAAAGATCTTGAGTTTAACAATTTGGATAAAAGCATGGCTTTGAATAAAACATTATAGCGAAAGTTGATCCATGTAGCTGATCCCACTTAGTAGGACAAGACTTAGTTGTTGTTGTAGAAACTAATGATATTGTAAGTTGTATAATAATTAAATATTTTCTTGTTGTATTGAAAGTTTTAATGATAATATTTAATTCAATGCAGGCGTAACAGCTCATATATGAGTGAAGCTCAACGGAGTGCCCTAAATGCGTTGCTTTTCAGAACTGGCGATCAGTCTAGAGACATAGTACTTGTCCTTGCCACAAACAGACCAGGAGATCTTGATAGTGCAATTACTGATCGCATTGATGAAGTGATTGAATTTCCGCTTCCAGGAGAGGAGGAACGATTTAAGTTATTGCAGCTCTATTTGAACAAGTATCTATGTGATGACAGTAACGACTCCAAGGGGGGCTTATTTTTGAAGAAGCAGCCTCAGAAGATAACCATAAAAGATTTATCTGAAGATGTGCTGAAAGAAGCTGCAAAGAAAACAGAAGGATTTTCTGGCCGTGAGATAGCCAAACTCATGGCCAGTGTCCAAGCTGCTGTCTATGGACGCCCTGACTGCGCCTTGGATTCTCAGCTGTTTAAAGAACTTGTAGATTACAAGGTGGTTGAACATCATCAGCGATTAAAACTAGCAGCTGAAGGCAGCCTCCCTGCGTGATCATATGTAACAACTCGTCCTGCGTGTTATTTCTGAATTCCCATTCACCTCAGCTCTGGGAGGTTTCTTCTGGATACATTCTCCATTTTGTTACTTGTGCTGTGCCATTATTTCAGGCTCGTGAAGCATATTCTTTTAAAAACAAATTCCAGATGCGTTTGCTAGGATATATTTATGCTATGTTTTAGATATTAATTACTAGGAGTGGAAGGCTTTAGTTTCATGGAAGTAGCATTCCAGCAAAACCTGTTCTCTTCGTGCTATAAGGAGCATGATGTCAGGTCTTGAGAGTGTAGAAGTCAGTTTATCTTGTGTCTATTCAATTAAATTTATAAAATATGCTCAGTTGTAACTTAAATTTGTCTTTTGTTTTGAATTAAAGTTTTGTTAAATTCCAAAAAGAAATTACAGGAATGGATCTTTGTTGAATAATTGTTTATTTTTTCGTTGGAGTATATTGTTTGTCAACTTCAACACATTTTTCATTACAGTTTAAATAACTGTAGGAAAATTTTGAGTTGACTTTATCTTTGCATTAAATAATAATGTTGCATTAGACTAAACAAGTACTAGTACTCCGTATGGTTTACTGGAAAACACTGTTTATAATGCTACATCATTGGAATATAACATGTAAACAGTAACAATTTTACGCAAGTAACATGTTTTTTTTTTGACAAGGTAAGTAACATGTTATTATATGTAAAACTAGTATTCTTGTAACATACTGTATTACTTATAACATAGCGAGTAACCTTGAAAAATAGAAAATGCATAAAATGTAGATTGTATTCTTAAAATACACCCTCGTACCATTGCAGATTTTTATTATTTTGAATAGAAGTCACAGATAATCTTAACAAATACTTAACTGCCGGCTATTTCTCTCTGTAAAGAGAAGAGTTGTTGTGATTTCATTTTGATCATGTTAAGGGCAAGTTATCAAAATAAGATGCGAACTTTCTTTCTATGATTGGTCGTACTACTCTTTCTCACAGCTGTATTATGTGCTTTTCAAATAAGTCATGCAATCTACAGCCACATCTTTATCAATTTGTGATGACGTGGAACAAATTTGCATTAATTTTATTTGTGAGTATACTTCTAATACTAAAAATTCCATTTAGTCTCTTCAAAAACAGTTTGTTCTCCAAAAGAGGAAGATGGTCTAAGATTTCAGTGTTAACATGAGTTACATTAGAAATTTGGATTGAGATTTGATGATTAAAACAATCACTCTTTGTTAGATCACATACATTCAAGTTAAATATAACTGTGTGTGACAGGATCCAAAACTTTGCACATGCGACGATATTTAGAAAATAACGAGCATTTGATGGAGAATGATATGTCTTGTAATTCGTAAATTATGTCAAATTTCGACATGACATACAGATTAACTATGTTTCTTTCTGCTCTCATAACTATACACTTAGTGATCATGCTTCTCTAAAAGGTTGAAAATGAAATCCAATTAAGTAGACGTTTTCCCCACATATTTGCTTTAAAATTGTTAATATAAGCCTCATAGTCTTGGTAATAAAGGTTTTCCCATCTGCAAATTTTCAAATAATAGGTGCTTTTCTATAAATCAGTAGTATATCAGGCTTTGTTGATTGACAATTCTAATTTAAATCATTCTCTTGACTTCTAACTCATTTGAAAGTGGAATTGTCCTCATAAAATTTAAATTTTCATTTTGAATTTGTCACTGAAAACTTTTTACTAATGTCAAAAGGAAGCATCATGATATAGTAGATCCTGACATTTGTCCTACAGTGTATATGCAAGCTCCTAAGATTATTATATGTGTCCTTGGGGATTGTAACATGATTAACTGACATATAGGATAAGTTTATTATTATGAATGATCAAAGTTGGAATACTTTATTTATTCTTGAATTATCACATCGGAGTGAATTTTAATTTTCAATCAACTTCAGTCGGTATTAATTAATGGAACTTCCTACTCTTTTTGACAAGATAAAAATCAATTAGTTTTCTCAGGGACATTCCTTGATCATGATCAATTTTTTAATAACCTTCAAAGATACCTACATTGTTTATCATTATCTTTTCCTCCATCCAACATTTTATAGAGATCAATCAAAGTGAATAAAAGTATCCTTATACTAATTTTTTTCAAGTTCAATATTGATAGGTTCTACTTTAATATTACAAGATTTTCGGTTTATAAGGAATATATGAAATTCTAGTAGGTCAGAACTCAGATGTTCTGTAGAATGTCGAGACATCTGTTCTGACAGAAATAATATGATAAAACATAAATAATATAAAATAATACTGGAAAATATAAACAACACAAGAATTATTAATTTAGTTCGGTGACAACAACACCTACTCTGAAGACTATCAAGTCAGAAAGGAAATCTACTATCAATAGTACTAATTCAAAGCTAAATTCCCCCGTTTATAATTTATCACTTAATCCCCATTCAATGTAATTTTTACATAGGAACTCCTAGATATGAGTATACCCACTCACATCCAATCACCGTAGTGATTTCTAACAGTCTCAGTTCCAATTACTGTATCGACGATCTTTCACATAAATGAAGATCACACTTCAAATACAAACAAACACCTTAATCAAGACACCCCTTGATTTAAAATAACATACTTGATCTTGCTTCACAATTTTGATCAAGAATAATACTTAGAGTTGCTTAACAGCTTCCTCTAAGAACAATACTACCTCTTGCTTAAAAGCTTCGAGGAGAACAATAATAGAGACTACAATTCTATAATATCAGTCCAACTCACAAGTGAGTGGAACACACAACCAACTCTCCTAGAGAGTGGTACAGACTCATCCCTAATGACTACATCTTTACTATTCCCGGCTGGTACATTTATTTAGGTTATAATGCTTCTATTTATAACCTATATCCAACTGGATTTAGACTTTCAAACACAACTCACCAGCTGTTACAAAACTGTATAAAATTTTGCATAAAAATAGGTCTTCAATAAAATTTTCCTAAATTATCTCTCTATTTAGAAAGTCAATATTCTTCAATATTCTTTTGATCTGCAAATCAGCGCCACATAGGATAATATAATATCCTCAAAATATATTCAGTCATTGTGACTTAACAAAATAAACAGATAGTTCAACTGTCGCGATATCGTATGCTTCCTCATAGGACATATGATCCGACATGTTACTCGAGATGTTGAAATACTTCAACTCAACATGTCCTAACATAAAATAAGACTTCTTGCTCAACTTGTACCTGTTAGCAAGTTAATACATTATATTTAACATATTGCTGCTAAATTAGTTTTACCAAACATAATGCCAATCACATAATTCGGAGAATTAACAATCTTCTCCATTGGCTTATTTTGGCTAACACTAATTTACATAACCTTTGTACATACATAAAACAAAACCATAATTCAAAGGCTAAACAATACAAATCAGCAGCGAGCATTAAACTAAAAACATCAGAAGCAGTTAGTCTTTAGTCTTCACATTTGACAGTCTTCAGTCTTCACTATCATCACACATGATGTGACAACATCAACAATAGGAATTCTTTATCTTCATGACAGTCCAACACATATTCTCTCTCCCTTTTTAGCCAGAATATGACAAAAGCTTTAACAATAGGTAACATCCAAAATCTGATTGATGTCGAGACACCACATCTAACATCTCTTCACAACAGCCTGAACAACCTTAACACCGCAGAATAACAACCTCATGATAAAAGGAGAAAGTCCTGAAGTCATGATGTACACGAGGAAGAAGATAAACAACTCTCTCCTCAACCCAGGATCTTAAAATTCCAATGGTGGCATAAGAGGAACCTTAAGAACAAATCAACCACCATCCCGAGTAACTTAGAGCACAAGTCGCCCGTGATACACACTCTCTAGAAATATTTCCAAAATATTTCCTTGTTGGTCTCAAGGAAACACATGTCCATAAAATGTCTTGAAAACCTGTCAGACATTATCATACAACTCAAACAGGCTTCTTCATCAATATAGTCTAAGATAACTCCCATACTTATCCATAAGCACAAAAGCATAAATACAATGCCTCCCACTAGACTCCAAAAGCACTCATTTCATCCTTCAAGAGTGACATAACCCAAGATACCAAAACATCACATGTGGTATCTCCAGACAGATCATACACTCGGGCCCATCAAACACTTATCGCCATATGTCACGTTGTATGACATCACTTTCTCCACAAGTTTAAACCACACACAAGCTTCACAGAATTTGCACCATTGCAACACAAAACTATAGACAAGTCCTTTACTCCTCCTGTTATGGATAATCCAAGCTCCTCCTGAACATGGCCTCTTTAGTACCAGATTAAAATATATGGAGATTCTCACATGCTTATAATGACGAATCACAACTTCACATATCTGTTGACCATGTTTACACCCATGTCTTTAGACTTCTTCAAAGACATGTGTTGTCATGACTCTTTGGAAAGTAGAGATGTCATGCACACCAAACTCACAACCTCCACACATTCTCAGCTTGCTTAAAAACTTTACTGAGAGTCATACAAACATTCATATTAGACGAAGAACACTTAAAAAATATTCAGATCATACCTCAGTATCTAAAAACCATTCATCTGCCCTTTAATTCACTAGCAATTATCGATACTTGTGAAGACTCTTCTCAAAATAAAGTTGAGCCTGAGCTCCCCATGTATAATCATAATCCTAGACCTTCTTCAGGTATAACAAACAAAATTATATTACGACATTATTTAGGACTGTTGTACCCCAAAATTTGTCCTCCCATATTCTTCAAGGTTTGTCAAGAATCATCTTCAAATGGTTCAAGACCACTCAAGGGTTGCACAGTCCAAATGCCTCCTAAGCCAGTCAAAATTAAGGTTTTGGTTCTCTCAAGGAATTTGAGGTTTTCAATGGTCCAATCAAGTCCCATAGTCCTATACACATTGTCAAGCATCTACATGTCAAGTCTCAAGACTCACA